CCCCCCCCCCCCCCCCCCCCCCAATGCTCTCAAAAAAGTGATGCTAGTCTGATCCTTAATGGGACAATCTCTACCAGAAATCTCAAAATAAAGTTTAACAGTATCACATCTGGGAAAGACTCAACAGGTATGAAAACAAGACTTTGGCATGCCAGTTGAGGGTTTAAGTATTTTACTATGCTTTTTTTCTTCTTAGTAGGAGCTGTGAAGTAACGAAGAATACCAGATCCAGTTATTGATTTTTACAACCTTTAGAAGCTAAAGCTTCATGCAAACCTCATGTATTAAGTCAGTTAACCATGACAAATCTGGATAAGCAGACTACCTTTTGGACAAACTGAACACACAAACACGGAGCACCGGACACTAGGTCCAGAAGCAAGGGAGATACGGATCATGTTTGATTACAGAAAAGGCTGGTTGGTATGTCATAACTGCATTCTCCACAAGAGGGTGTTTTGCTATTGAGTTGTCAGCACAATCTCCTAGAGCAGCTGCTGGAGGTCACGCCATGTCTGGGAACAACCCTCAAATTATGCTGCCCAGAAGAGCGTGCATAGCATGGCAGCAAGTCTTTTGGGAGGGATGACAGATCCCAGACATACAGTAAACCCTGCATACAATGTATTACCCTGAAGTAGTTTTTTAAATAGCTGAGGCTGTTCTATACCTGCTCCCCATTTATTTGCTAATAGTTTAACCTCCCCCCACTCCAGAACTCCATTATGAGAGACCCAAGATAGAGTAACAAAAGGATTTATTCTCATTTCCTCTTATTGTAGATCGTTTATGTACAGAAACGGTAAAAAAACCTTAAGAGCCTTCTAGGAAGAGCAAGCAGATATGTTGCTGGAAATAAAATCATGGGCACTGGAAGGAACTGAAAGAAGTCAGTTCACTTTGATCAGGGAATGAGGCATTTGAGGGAGTCTCTCTTTCTCTATAGCTCCTTGTTTTTCAAATATCCTTGATGACTTCTTCAAGCTCTTCTTTCGTGTACATGTGAAATTTCATTCCAGGTTCCACTGTTGCCAGCTAGAAAAAAAGGAGGAGAGGGTTAAACGTAACTGCGCACTTGCATACGTGAGGAAATGACAGCACGGGGCATGGAACAAAAAGAAGCCACACCAGAGAGCAGCTGTTCCTTCTCAGCGGCCTGATCTGCCAGCCCAGCGAGATAGCTCCAGCCTGTAACATGCTCTTTGATTCCCTAAAATAGCTGCCTGCTACAGAAATAGCTTCTAATTGATTCAATCACCCCATAGTAGCAGCAGCTCAGAGAAGTGCCTATGGGGAATGCTCAGGTTCTGCTTCTTCCTGACTGCAGGGACAGATGGGTTATAGCATTAGTTCTTCAGCAAACACTTCTCAAAAGGGGGCTCAAACCACAGGGCAGCCCAGACCCATTTTAACCAGTCATATGCAGAAAAACATTTCTTTGCCCATCAGCTTTAGGGGATAATACCAAGGGGTTGGCAGCTTTCTTTTTTAGTATCCAGGGTTACAAGCAGTGTCTTGTTACCCAGGGTTTAAAAAAAAAAAAAAAAAAAGGCTGCAACAACTTAGATCATTAAGGGACAAGTTGTTAATGACTACACTGATTAGCAAAATTAACTTCAATCTCCGACCACTCTGGCACTAGGCAGAAGGGATAGAAAGCCTGCCACTGCTGCTATGCATCAACAGAAGAGATGCTTGGTACCAGATGCAGAACAAAGGATCTCTGCGCATCCTGAAAGCTCCTGGGTCCAACTGCACCCCTCTGGGGGTGCCCAAAGACACCAAAAGGGGAGAAAGGAAAGTCATTAAGAGATGCGGGAATTAAAAAGAACCTTTAAAGCCAAACTTTACAATGACTGCTAGAAAGAAGGCAAATGTTAAAGTATCCAACATGAGGCACTTTAACTGGAGCCAGCTTTCAGAAGGGGAGCAGTACTTTGTCAGAAGTGAGGCATATGTTAAGTTAAGCATCCAAAATAATCTGTAATAGATTTTGCCTCAAGTGATGAATATCGTGTTTCCCATCCCAGATCACTATTCAAAGATACTCAAAAGTTATTCAGGTTTTCCCGGCCTGTCTGAACCTCCTTCAAGTCTAAACTTCACTCAATCCCCTTGAGTGAAGTCTTGTCAGGCGAAAATGAACAGTCACTCTTCAAGAAAAGGAGCAAAGTTGCTTTTGATGCTCTACTGATGCTTTAGCCAAGTGGTCAACACATACCCATACCTTGGTATTATTTACTATTGTTTGCATGGCATTTTTTTTCTACCGAAGCAAGGGGTTGGGTCTAAGCATAATGCATTTTCAAATGTAAGCTAAATTTAGAGGTTGACATATTTTGCCTTCCAGCCTACTGTAACTTTAGGTAAAACATTTCTCAGGCAGAAGAGCGACTTGAGTCTACCATCACTTTAATCCTAACATTACTCTCATACTTACCCCTGATAGTGATTCTCAATGTGCACAGAGATATGCAGAGTACAGTTAAGCCCTGTTAAATGAGGATCTCACATATCAATGTAGAGTAATGTGTACGGTGTTTTCTTCACACTGTGCCACAGGTTGTCCAAAGAAAATACCGATTTGCAAGGTTTCTGGGGAAGGTTCAAGATTACAATCTGAGAATCTAATTCCCATCCGACATACTCTGCTTCCCTTCTCAGGACAGCCTAGTTCTTTTGTCTCGAAAGAGGATCACCAGTATTGGATGCTAAAATAACTTGTACAATCCAAGAGGCAAGACATGCGGTTGGTGAAGGGAGGCCAATATATGCGGTTGTTCCAATCAAAGGCATCACCCATAAATATCCTTGTTGATGGTCCAGGAACAGAGACACAACTGTAACATCACTCCAGTACTACCTTCTACAATGCAATAAAGTTATATTTTTCTTCAATGGCTAGTACTGTTCAGGGGTGGCACATAGAGCACGTACCCTAGATCTGAAACATTACTATGCTTAATGGGTTACATGAAAAAAGAAATTTTAAGTTATGGCATTCTTCAGTTTCCTTCCTTACCTCACACTTCTCTTATCATTTCAGCAGCCATCTTTCAGACAGCCCAAGTACTCGTCCCTCATGACTCAAAAAAGGTTAGGTCCCCCCACATCAGAGGCTGGGCACCCAAAAATTAGAGGATGGTTTTGAAAGTTGGCACCAAACTCTTAATTATTTGGACAAAGCACTCAAATGGGACACACACACAGCCCTGTTTTATAACAGCTCTAGAGATTGTTACTGGCATGATTTAAGCAGCAACTGAGTGAAGGGAGGAATAAAGAGGAGACAGAGGGAGAAGAGCAAATTAGTAGTCAGTTACATGATTTTAACATCCAGTCTCATAACATGTAAGAATAAGTATAGTGCAGACATGCTCAAGTGTCTGCTCATCCATGCTCCATGATAGCGGGAGAAAACTAGTTAAGTTTTCACTTGCTTCTAAAATGTTACACACTTGGGTCATGATATATTTTGCAAAGCTTCCGTTAACCGCTAGGAAGCAGAGGTTAGCATAGAACACATTTATTCTCAAGGGTTTGACAGACTTCAAATCTCTCTTTAGTCTTTCTGTCCAACAGAAATTTTTGGCAGTTATCCAAGACTGAATATAGCAAGTCCTGACTGTATAGTTTTCATTCCTTGTAATATTATATGTGCCAGGGAAGCGTGGAAGGGTACACCCTAAAAAAAAGTTACCCTGCTGTCACAGGCCTGGCTTACTTTAGGGCAGGAGTGGGCAAAATGGTGGATCCAGCCAGCGGCTAGACTCCATTTCCCAGTAGCCCCTGCCCACATGGCTGTGGCCAGTTTCCATGGAGACCCGAGGAGCTACAGAGACCCGATATAGTGTGGGGCCAGGGTTTCCATGGAGACCAGCCCCAGCAGTGCTGGCAGGGTGTGCTGCTGGGCAGGGAGCTGCTCCGGGGCTGGGGCTGGGATCCTGTGGCAGTGAGTGTGGTATGGAGCTGGGGTGTGCAGGCAGAGGATCTCAGCCCTGCTCCAGCTCCAGACCATGCTGTCACCGCCGCAGGACCTCAGCCCTGGAGCTGCTCCCAGCCCGGCCCGAGCAGCGCTGGCTGGTCTCCATGGAAACCCTGGCCCCACACTGTCACAGCTCCACCATTCCTGGTGTCTCCATGGAAGCCAGCCTGCAGTGAGGTGGGCAGGAACTGCTGGGAATTGGAGTCTGCCACAGACCCAGACCAGCCCATCGGCTGGACTTTGCCCACCCCTGCTCTAGGTTCTGGCATCAACACTGCCAGCAGGAGACCCAAAGCTTTGCGAATCAATATGAAATCAAGTCTAGTCATACTCTGGGACTGCTGCAGGACTCCACTATTTACTCAAGCAAGCAATCACAAGATTATCAGCAAAAACACACAAAACAAGATACGAAGAGAAGACTTCTAATCTTGTTTTGGATAGGCCAACCTAAGCCTCTAACAATACACGGATATTATGGGGATAGACGCTTAAAAAAAAAAATGTAGAGATACAGTGACCCAAGCATCTACCATCCTGAGGAGAGACTGAAGGTTTTTAGAGTTAGAGAATGGCCCCCTCGTTTTAAAATTTTAAATATTCTCTCACCCCAAGTCACTGCTGGGACATGTTCTTTTTAAATAAGTTACCTTATCTACAATCAACTAACTTTCTCAATGAAAAAACATCATGAAAGACAAATCTATAGTACAGCCAGTTAAGTCCGAAATAAAAAAGCAAGGAATAAGCAAGGCACATTTTTCTTTCAGTCAAAATACTAGAGAAACTCCTTCAATGTTCAAAATGCCAGGACAATAAAGCAAATTACCTCAATATTAGTTGCATTCAGTTTCTCTTCCATGACTTGTTTTAGGATGATGAGAGAAGACTTGATTGCTTCTTTCAGTGTCATTGACTATTTAAAAAAACCAAAAACAAGTAAAAAAAGAGTTAGCAACTCTTTTTTCCTTTTTCTGATTTCCTGAACACACCCATCCACTTGTTTCCCTGAAGGAGAAAGTGCCACCTGCTCCAGAAACCTTGCACCTCTCCAAAATACCAAAGAAGCCATCAGTGGCAGAACATAAAAATGTAACTGTATCACATGCATGCCTTCCTTCTGCTCTTTTGGCAATATATTTTGGACAGGATAATAACTAAGAGTCACAAGGTACACAGTTTTCCTTGCTGTTTGGGTATATCACAGTCCTCTAAGGATGTAACATGACATTTTGTTAAAAAGCTATGAGGCTACTGCAAGCTACTATTGCCTCTTTTGACAGTCCCCCTTAAGAAGGGTCTAATTTCAGAAGTCATCCAAAACAAGTGTACTAGATGTTGGTTGCAAATATCTAGTGGTTTATGGGTTTCTCACAGAACAAAAAAAATTCTGGAAAACTTGGACTTTGTTAGCATGAGTCCCTCCACAAGTCAGCTTGCAAAGCCAAAGCTCTAGGCAAGCCTCAAGAACTGTTATTAGCTGATAGTATTCATTCTGGTGTGTAGGGCAGGGGCAGGCAATTATTTTGAGAGGAGGGCCACTTAATGAGTTTTAGTGAGCTGTTGAGGGCCACCTGGGTAGCCCCACCCCTTGACCACTGCCCCACCCTTGTCACCATCTTGGGACTGGAAGTCCCACCCCTAACCCCTGACTTTTACCACCAAAAGTCCCTCCCCTTGCCCCCCAGAAATGCTCCTTTGTGGGGCGGGGGGGCGCCATCTTTAAAACAGAAAAAACCAAATCACACGCTAAAATGTTATAGTAGGTGTTTGACTTTTAATTTTATTACAAAAAATATTTTTGTCATGATTTGTGTTTGCATAATGTAGAGAGACGACTGCATAATAACTTAGAATAAATTCTTAGTTTTGTATATTTGTTGGGGGTGTGTAGGAGAGATGTGTATGGGGAGGCATAGGGTATGTCAGGAGTTTGTGTATATGTGGGGGTTGTGGGGGCAGGGTGTGAGGGAATGAACTCAAGGGAATGTTTCAGAAGGACCCCCCCCCAGCCCCTATAGTGCACCAGCAGCAGGCAGGACACAGGTGCCTGGTGGGGCGTGGCTCTGGCCAGTGCTGCACATTACAGCAAGAGGCGCAACCTCCCCCAGGTTGTCTGTATCCCTGGTGCTCCCTCCCACTTGCATGCAGCCCCTGCACTTGCACAGCACAGGAGGGAAGCCCCACATGCTGGAGCTGGCTGCCTTCCCTACTGGGGTTGCGCTGCACTGCACAAGAGAAAAGCCTCAGGCACTGGAGCAGGCTGCCTTCTCCACCGGGGCTGCACTGCAGACAAGGGAAGCCCCAGGCACCTTCCCCTGGGTGGTGGGGAAGGCAGCCAGGTCCAGTGCATGGGGCTTCTTTCTGGTGCTGCGCAGCCCGGGCAGGGAAGGCAGCTGATTCCAGCATGTGGGGTTTCCCTGCTGTGCTGTGCGAGTGTAGGGGTTGCACGCGAGTAGCAGGGAGCGCCAGCTATAGAGGCTTAGGGGAGGCTACACCCCTCACTGCAAAGGGCAGTGCTGGCTAGAGCTGTGCCCTGCTAGGCACGAGTGCCCCACCTGCTGCTGCCACTGCCTGCTGGGGCTGCACACCATGGGCAGGGAGTGTGGGGGGAATCCCCACATCTGTCACCCTCCCTCAGACCCAGGGCCATCCCAGGGCAGGGAGGCAAATGGGGTAACCATGCCAGGCCCCGTGCTTTGGTGGGGCCTGTGGAGCTGGGCGGAGCAGCGGCTCTGTGTCCAGCCACTTACTTACTACCCCTCTGCCACCAACGGTGGCAACAGCTTCTTCAGAGACAGAGGTGTACACATGGGTGCCTCACTCCCACCATCACAGGCAGAAGGGCTGGGCAGGGCACAATTTGTTGGTGGGTGTCACAGGCCAGATGACAGTGCTTGGTGGGATGCTTCCTACCCTGATAAACACCAGCCTCAAGTCATTTAGTCAATATGCCATGTAACCAATTCTGACAAAGTGGGGGCAATACCTTACAGGATGTTGCAAGGACCAGCTGGCCAATCAAAAGATGGAATTTTGAGCTCATTCCATTACCTTGTGGTAAACCTCTTGCAGAGAGCTCTGTGCACCTTCTGAGGCAGACCCAATTGCTCTTGCATCACACTGTACAAATGTCCCTGAAGGATCCATGTGAAACCTGCCAGGAATACAGTTAAGAGTGAACACCAGACAGTATATCTTATGGCACAACATAACAAAATGCTTCATTAGAAATTTTAGAATAGTGCAATATTCTCTGCAGAACCCAGCTTACAGATGGAAGCCAAGAGAAAGAGAAAGCAATTTCTCATCTGGGTGTAATTAACTTGTGGCTATGCAAAACTCATTACCACAAGGTATTGTGGAGGCTGATAATTTAAACAGATTCAAAAGACAATTCATGCAGGATAGGTCCACTAGCAGGCAGTAGGCCCTGCATAAATACTGTTTGTCTTGGCATCCACACACTGCCTTGTAAGATACAGAATACCAAGCTATCTAAAAGCAGGGGGTGGCAACCCCCAGCACATGTGCCAGAGCATGGCATGAGGCCATTTTGCTCTGCACACTACAGCCAGTCTGGGCTCTGGGCAGCTGCCACTGGCCATGGAGCCAGGCTGCTCTCAGCAGGTGATGGGGAGGCTGCAAGCCCTGCTGCAAGTAGCCCAGCCTCTGTGGCAGGCAGTAGCTGCCCAGAGCCTAGGCTGGAATGCCAGGCAGCCAGGAGGCTGCAAATAGCTGCACCAGGGTTCAGAGACCTGGCCCAGCTCTGTGGCTGCTGGCAGCTGCACGCATGCTTCAGGGTGCACAGTGGGGAAGGGGCCAGGGCTGCACTGCCACAACAAGGATCGGGCACTTCACAGCTCCCCCACCATCTGCCCCAGTGCATCAACATCTTTCAAGCCCAGGCTAAAGGTTTTTCTGGTACTTGGCCCTAAAAATGTTGCCAACCCCTGATCCAAAGTCATCCTTGCCCTGAATAGCAAATTGGAGGGACTGCTGAGACAAAAACACCATTTACTGATAATGCCTAAGGGTTTAGGGAGGGAATCCTGATCTGAGCCGATTGTGAGGGAGCCAAAGGATCAAGAGAGACCCTGAAGCAAACAAAACCCAATAGGTAGTCAGCAGTAACATAGTGAAGGGTAGGCAAACAAGGGACCAGGCCCAGACATCACCTTAGGGGACATCTTACCTGTCCTGACTGTTGCTGCCATTCTAGACTGACAACCAACCCACACACTGGAGGGTTCTGCCCAGGGCACAGAGCTTGCTTGTTATGCCTGTGATAACTGTAGCTTGGCTACCCTGATTAGAGTTGGACACTTGTTCGGTCACACCTCCAACCAATCTTCATAGAAGGAATGGGATCTCTTGTTGTCATGAGAGCTGAGGCCACATTTACCTAGAGGGGCAGACCTTCAACTAGAGATTCTTCTTACTGGCTGTCCCTCTAACTGCATTCATGGAGCTTTTCCCCTCTCCAGAAAAGCCTGGATCTCTGAAACGTACTAGTTTCTTGTTACAAGTGCTCCACCACCTCCCTAAGGAATGTTATAGCAAGCTCCTGGTATTATATTACTAGTGGCTCTGTTAGTCCTTTTAGAAAAGTATGAGTTCTACCCATCCCCAGCTTACTTTAAAAATTGTTTTAAAATTAATGTATACTACAAATGTCACATTCTGCCAGACACTGAAGAGGCATCCTTTGTACTAGCCAACAGGCATGTTACAGGATTAGTATCTCTGTCAAGTGCGTATGACGATAAGCCCCATGCGTTCGGTTTATATGCAATCCTAGCACCAGTCCTTAAACAAAACACCTGAAGCACCATAAGAGAGACATCCGCCCACCCTTATAACAATGGGTGTGATGCAATGAACATGGTGGACTTACAGCTGGGGTCCTTTTTCATCAACACCTCCAAACAGCAGCGCTACACCAAATGGACGAGACTGTAAAAAACAAGCCACAGAACGTTTGAAAGACCGGAACAGTCAAAGCAAATCAAAGAAAAGCCACTAATGTGCCCTCAGAACATGTCTCATAGAGCTCTCAACTTACCATAGCACCTGGATCAGCATCCTCCTCTCCAAACTGCAGGGCTAGGTTCGACACAGCTTGTGTCACACTCTCCACCGTCATGATTTCATTATATGTAAACCAGTGATTCTATAATGGGGAGAAGTTGGGGGGGAAACAAGGGGTTGAACTATGCCTTTCTAAAAGCCAGTTACTACTTTCACATGATTATTGGTTTATGAGCGGCCTGGCAACAAAGAATGAAACAAAGGTCTTGAAAGTAGCAGGCCTGCCAGGTAGCTTAGCAATGGTACTCCAGACTATCAGTTCCACTCCCTGTCTTAGCAAGGTCTGTGTATTAGAGGCAGCACATTCAGTCACTGGTTGGAGACAAAGTAAGCAAAGTTCTGTGTTACCCACAAGTGATACCCCAAGCTAGAAGAAACTTCAGGAGAAAGGGATCTTCAGGTCTGGCTTGGGATGGAAGAACCATCAATTCACAAGGATCATACTTTCTTCATAAACTGTGGGTTCATTCCTTTATTAGTTTGCTACTCCTAAAAGGATGTTCAATACTCTGGAACACTAATGAGTGTGAATGCAAAGCCAGGGCATTTGTCCTAGTTCAGAACTACACTGCAGAAAAGAGGGAATTATAAGCTACTCCAAAAGAAGGAAGTGTGCCAATATGCTTTTACTCATTCATGCAAGCTGCAAAGCCCCCAAGGAAGAGCCCCTCTACTACAGAATTATGGTCATTTCCCTTTTCCCACCAAGTTATTATTTATAAAAAGAAAAAAGAAAACAGGAACTGGGAAAATATAAACATTAATTCTGCCAAACACCAGAGATGTCAGTAGCTGAGTTTAGTTGCAAATTACTCCTCCTGCACACATCTATTTGCCTTTGCTACAAAGGGCTGCAAGTACCTGGGTCCACTATATGGCATAAGAAGAATCTATTCTCAGAACAAGTCTCAGGAAGGGGAAAGGCAACATTTTAATGAGAGGCACTTAAAAAAGGGTTACCTGTGTCTCCACTCTTGCTTTGTCAATTAAAGTCTTTGCATCAGCTATTAATCCACTCATAGCACATCCTGGAACAAAAAAAAAGGGAAGAATGGGACAAATGATGTTAGTAATTTACGAAGTACATTTGTCCTTTGCAATCCCTCAAGTGTTTCACTAAGTACAAGTGCTAGTTCATGCACAGGCAAAATGCAGTCAACTTGAGAGAGAGAGAGAGAGAGAGAGAGAGAGAGAGAGAGAATGTATCCACTGTGTATTACAAGACTTGCTAGAGGCGAGTGTTTATTATTCAGCTACCTGAACGAATGCCTTACCATGCTGTTGGTGCTTGGTTGCATGGAACCCAGAGCTAAGATCAATGACAGTTAAACAAAGGTCTTCAAATCATCCATTCCACCCAACAAAATATTAATTCATTAAAACAGGAACCAGTTCTAGAACTTCATATGAAAAATCCAAGCAGCAGAGCCTGAACCTGCTAATATATTCACCCTTCCTGAGCACAGTAAAGGCTGCAGCACAGTAAGAAGGGAAGACACTTGCCAACCTCCTAACCATAGGCAGCAAAATGTAAGAGTGATCTAATTAAAAGGGTCGTAGTAAAAGGCATCCAAAGTGCAGGCAGGGGACTCACCACAGGTTTGCAAGTGGGGGAACTGGCATGAGAGGATCCAGGACATTATAAAGCTGAATATTGTAAAAAGCAGCCAATAAGTAGCCTTTCTATTTAGCTATTTGTTTTAAATGTGCAGAAATGTCATCAACTTGCATGTTTGCAGTTGATTGAAATACCAGTTTATAAGTAAAGCACATTTTAATGCCATATGGTTGCTGGGACATGGTTATGGGTTATAATATTAGAAGAAATCAAAAGGGGAAACTACATGCCTAGAAAAAGCCTGTACACCTCCATGATTCTCACCAATTTTCACCATTTAAAAGAAATGTTTTAGAGGTCCCTCTTGCATGCATGTGCATGGGGGGGGGGGGCGGGGCCAGGGAAGGGCAGGGGGGGGGGGGGCAGGGACAGGGGGGGAAGAGAGGCTAAGAGAACATAATTTGGCAGTAAATCTTTCTTGGGGCCCCCCATGTATGCAGGGGCCTGCCTTGACCAGAAGAACAGGCTAACATTAGTACTCCAATCAACAAACTTCCAGCATACAAACTGGCCCTGGATCAAGCTTTTACATTGCCATAATTCCCTCATCGCCTAGATCTAAATTTGGGGACAAGCTAGCCTTAGGGAGGTCACACAGGAGTGAGGGTTACAGCTGCTGCTTCCTGCTCCTGTAACTATGCCCTGCTGGCCTGGAGCCTGGAAAACCAGTGACCAGAACCTGGTATTTACTGGGAGTTCAACAGTCATTCCCCATCCAAGAAAGTCCAGGTCTTTGCAGATTTGACTTCAGAAGCCATATTTCAGAAGAAGACTTTCATTAAACTTCTCTAGGGAAGAGAGTTCAATTACACATTAAGGGTTTGACAGACATCCACACATCTTACCATAAGATTAAAAAATATATAGTAGCTCATCCTTACCTATATGAGAATCTATTTCTACAATTTTCTCAATACTGCTAGGTTCCATAAGCGGAGACGTGATTCTTTTCTCCACAGCCAGGCAAACACCCTCTGATGTCTGGATCCCAATGGCTGTGGAACCAAGCTAAGAACATAACATACAGTTACCACCACAATCCTTAATCCAGGCTGTTAGGATATCTACAGTTGGTAGGCAATTACATGAACACCCCTCCTTGAACTACACATGTTTTTATCTCACAATAGTGCACCTGCAACAGCAGAAACAGACTGCATATACAATAAATAAAGTTTATTCACAACAGATATAGAAAAATACATAATGATGGTTGAGTTTAAAGCATTGCAATTTAATCTGAGAACCTGGAGAAGTCGAACTGCACATCTAAACAGCTGAGGAGTTCATCAGAATCCAGAAATCCTTTCACAGAATTAGTCCATATCTTCCCTTCAGCAGAGGTTTACAACCACTGGGCAATGACCCACGAAGGGTTGGCTGCCAGGTTGCGGCACGGGACTCCCGCTCAAACCCCCAACCATCCGCCCGGACAAGTGGCTTCCATCACCAGCAGGGATGTGCAGGGTCAAAGCTAGTGGGTGGGTCATGCCCGGGAGGGAGGCAGCCAGCTCCATGACCCTGTTCCGCTCCTGTGCTGGTCTGCAGGTTGGGAACTACTACCCTAAGCTATGTCATCATAAGATCACTTTTAAGAAGTCTAAAGAATTTGAAGGGCCTCATGAAATCTAATTTGCGTTTTGCATAAGGAAGGTTTTAGACATAGTGGTTGTTTCTAGGCAAAGACCTTAAGGCCAGATGCATTTGAATTAGTTATGTTTATTGTTTGATTTTCCTTTTAATTCCATTTCTGTCAAGCTGCTCGCCAGTTGCAAAATACATGGAATGTTTCACCCACAGACAGAAGAAACAAGTTCTCTGAACTCTCATGTTATACTGCTTTCCATACTGAATTTAGATTTCAGTATGTTAGTACTTTGCTTGTAACACTTAGGGTTTGTCAACGCTAGGAAATTGATCTATATAGCACAGAGAGTAGAATAAGAGCACTCGTGCGGTAAGCTACGCTAATTTAATTATACTGATAAATTTCCTCGTATAGACAAGACCCAAGTCATTCCAGATACATTGAACAGAAAGAATTCCCCAATTACAGGAGTTGCATAAAGACACTCACTTTTAGGCTGCCTCATGGATTGGGGTCTTGAAGTCTTAAGTTTACTAGCAGCAGGTTTAGTTTTGGTGAGAAGCGATCCTTAGTTATCTCAGATGCTTAACTCTCAATGAACACCTGACACTATTTTATTGTACTTATGAAGCACGATTCTTGTTAGAGGCATTGTAAAGGTTATATTTAACATGCCCCAATTTCTTCCCCTGCAAAGAGAAAGATATTCCATGCATCTTGAGCATAGACAAAACTCACCTAAGAATTTAAAAGAGCCTTCTGACCTGCAAAAATGCAGTGCATTTGTAAGCTTAGTGATAGAACTGATGGGAACAGAGACAAGTGAATTTATCCAAGGTTGAAGACCAATGTAACATTTGAAACGTTTCAAAGCTTAACAGGATTTGAATAGTTTCAAAAACAGAGCATTCAGGTGCAGGCAGATGCACATCCCCCTGTAGCCCCTCCCTTTTCCCAGAGCACTTCTAAATTGCCAAGTCAGCATGCAGCAGTGGTGCTCTCCAGCTAGGGAGTATAACAGTAGGCTTGCTTAGTCCTGTGGCTCTACTGTCCTCCACCCTAATGGGAAGGGGGGGGGGTGGAGAGGTGGGAGGGGAAGGGGTATAGCAGACAGTCAATGAGCACTCCATGTCCCTTGGCTACTGCTGATCCTAAAGATTGCCAGTAGTGTCCAGAATGAGATGGGGGAGGGGGAAGTGCTGCATTGTGGAGTGCCTGGAAGGCCAATCTACTGTAAACAGTTAATATGAAAAGATACAAAGCTGCACCTGTCCCTCCTCCGTCACCCCCCCCCCCCTTTCCAAGTACACTTAGCCACTTCTGGAGCATTTTATCAAGCTTGTGTGTCTGTACACTCACTTTATTAAGCATTTCAAAAGCATTTCAAATGTTACATCTGTTTCCAGCCTAACAGATTAGATTTCCACAATCCTCTGCTGCATATGAAAACTGTGAAAGCTTGGGCAGTATATAAGACAAAGGTTGGGGCAAGACTGGATTGTGGTAACAAGACTGACGCAAGAAAATCAAACTCTGCTAATGGCTTGGAACCCATTAGGTGTCGAGACAGTGGAGTGCTTGCAGTACCCAATACCAGACCCATGCCATAAAATAATAAAGGTGGTTAAAGTTGTTGGCAGAGACCTGAACCACTCATCACATGTGTGTGTACTTAAGAAAGCAAGAAAAGCCTGGGCCAGTGTAGCCAGTGAAGGCAAGGAAACTACATATGCATTTCAATTGACCTAGCAGCTAAAGACAACAAAAGACTAAATATGCATTTCAAGAGAAACTTGTAAAAGGTACAGGAAGAGATTCCCTGTTCATGACAAATGCACCCTGCTCACATTAACAGGCACAATATCTAAGGTGTAATGTATGTCTGGAGTTTGGTAAACAGACAATACCAGTGCAAGCTATTGCAAATTTGCCCCACTGACAAACAAATACCCAAAGACAGGATTGGTGACACCTCTAAGGATCCTGTTGGACCACTCAGACCCATCACCTGTAAATTAATCTATAACTGTAGGAGCTGCAGAAATGCACAAGTCTTCACACCTAGATGATCCAGAACAGGAGCCAGGCAATTAACAGTTAAGATATAATAATCAACCTGTTCCTCCCTGTTTGTTTGGACTCTAATTGGCCAACTGTCAAAAAATGCTTTGAAGCCATACAGTTAAACAGTAGAAAATCTAAGCAAATATACCAGCAAGATGTGTGTAGTCCAGACCAAGCCATCCTGCCACCCAGCTGACAAGTGAAGGATCCAGGCTTTGAGGCTGCACAAGAACTTCTTCCTGCCTGCATTAGGTAAAGATCTCTGTGCAGCTAAGATAA